AAACAGACATAGACACATCCAATGTACATTATTCCATATTTGGCATGTTTAAGCCTGTTCACCCCACTGATGACACAAATCCACTTTATTGCACTGAATCAGTGGTGAAATTAAAAAATTTCCCCTACCGGTTCTGTGGGTGTGGCTTGTTGGGGGAGGTAATGTGACTGGGTGGGCATGGCCAACTCAACATCACTCCCCTTGAGGGGCTCCTCACCGGCCCCTCCCCTCCCAGCCACTCCTTGTTGCAAATGGCAGGAAAATGGGGAGGGGAATATTCCTGCCTACCATCCTTTCCTCAGTCTGTGCTGAGATTGAGGAATAGATGACAGGCAGGAAAATCCCCTTCCCCATCTTCCTGCCTTTCATGAAAATGGCTCCATTCCAGCTGCTCCCCCCGTCCCCCTCCCTCCTGGGGACCACCTTAAAGAGACAGGCTGCAGCAGGTCCTTTGTGAATCTAGGGAGAAAAGTTAGCATTCTTTCTGCTGCGTTTAACATTGAATTCTGTGGAATATCAAGTAGCCGGAAGAGGTGAGCAGTGACCAGGCGGGTGTGGGTGGGGCCAACAAGGGGTGATTACTACCGGTTCGGTGAACCAATACCAATAATCCCTAGCGGTTCTCCCGAACCAGTCCGAACTGGTCGAATTTCACCCCTGCACTGAATGTTTTAGTTTCTTCAGCAAACCTGGCCACCTTGCTGATCACCTTTAACACCTGATGTTTATAAGCAAGTTAATTTTCTTTAAAAGATATTACAAATTGAAAAAAATAGAGAAGACACCTCTTTCCCCAAAAAAAGTTTGGTCTAGAATTGTTTTTGTATTCATAGCATTTTTGTTACAGGCCTGGTATGAAGTTATAGACAAAATATTATGGCATGTATGCGTGCTCCATACTGATGGAAAGAGAAATCAAAGTTCTTCAACAAATGAACTTAAATTCTGTGATATGAAAAACATGGAATAGCAAAGCAGCAAAAGCTATGAATTAATCCTGTTCAGATCATGCAACTCTTACTATGCTGTGCTTAAAGCAGAGTTGGAAGTAGATGTATTGAGTTTTCTGGTTAGTTTATGGGGATATGTAATATCACAACAAGGAACTCTTGACTCAGAAATTTTGTTATGATAGCCAGAAGTTTTCACCATAACTTCGTAAAACAGGGCAATTGAAATCAAGAAAGCTAAAATAAAGTTTTTTTGTGGGAAAAAATGTGTTAGGAGCTTCAGTTTCTCCATTGAAAACAAATCCCTATATATCTTTACAATTCACCATTTCCCATGGTGAGTCACTATGTTCCGTTTGGTGGATATCAGAGTTCTATCCATCCCATCTCCACCTATATCTTGCAAACACCACAGATGACCATTTCTGATCTGTGTAAATTCCCAGTTTATTTCTGCATCTTGTAGAATCTTGTCTGTCTGTTTGATTAAAAAAAAATATTCAGGCCTTCCATACGTCAAATTTAGCACCAACATTCTACACTGCTGTGGGTTGATTGTCACTAAAGTATGAAAATACATAAAAGTATGAAAGTACACACAGCCCGAAGCTAATGAGTGCGGAAACACTTCTGTAGTTCACATGGATAAAGCATTCACTCATTAATGACAGTGTTAGTCTTTCCTTTGAAGGGGAAGGTTAGCCCGAAGGATAACTAATTGTCTGTGTTAACACATCTACTCTGAGCCTCAGTGTGCATCCAGTCCTGCTGTGACCATCACAGCTATACGTTCCTCTCTACCAATTAAGGTCCTACACTAACCAGCAACATCTCCCCACACCCCAACCTCCGCCACACACATACACACCGGTGTCTGTTAAAGTGAGAGAATTATTTTTAGAACAAGAGCAGTTATACAACAAATGAATTGTTTATGTGCGTCAAAGAGGAAAATATTTAGATAGGAGCCTGATTTATATATTTTGTGTGTTTGTGAGTGTGTGCGCACAAGTACACAACTGAGAAATGAGGCAGCGGAGATGTTTCTTTCCAGGGACAGCTGAAAATCCTTGTCAGAGGAAGTTAACAAATCAAGCACTCAAAATATACTGTAACTCTAGATCCCTTTTTTTCCCCCTCACATATTTCCATAGTCCATCTTCTCTCTGAATTGCCTCTTTATTACACTTTGGAACCGGAGGACACCTTGGCTATCGGTGGTACACACAGTTATGTTACCAGAATTCCTTTTACTAAAGCTTATCAACACAAAGTGATCCGACCATGCCCTTGTCATGATTGGATCACTCTCTCCTTCGCCTTGACCTTCGAACCGCTGTACCCCGCCGCAGGGAGGCGGAGCCATTAAGATGGTTCTGCCCCATATCTGCCTGATGGAGCCAGATAGGTTCCAGATGGAGCTTGGGCCATTCCCCGAGGCTCTGGCACACGCCTCGACTGGAGACCTAGTGGCCGCCTGGGATAGAGCGGCCGCTGGAGCTCTGGATTGGGTTGTGCCTTTGCGGCCTCTGACCCGGCGCCGATCTCATCTGGCTCCTAGGTTTACTGAGGAGCTAAGGGAGATGAAGCACAGGAAAAGACGCCTAGAGAGCAGTTGGAGGGCCAGCCTTTCTGAATCCGACCGGACACTGGTAAGATCTCATATTAAGAATTACCTAGTGGCGATAAAAGCAGCAAAATGTAATTATATTGCTGCTCTTATTGCATCATCAGATAACCACCCAGCCTCTTTAGGGTGACCCGCTCCCTGCTCCACCAGGGAGCATGGAAGGACCCGTTGGAGGGTAGAGTTGAGGACTTTGTACAGTATCTGTATGACAAAATCACTCAGATTCGGAAAGACCTGGACTCCGACTGGGTAGTTTCAAGGGGAATGACTGAGGCAGGTCTTGAGAATGTTATCTGGGATGAGTTTGATCCTGTGACTCCTGATGACGTGGACAGGATTCTGGGCAGACTTAACGTGACCACATATTTGTTGGACCCGTGTCCCTCCTGGTTAGTGCTGGCTTCCCGGGAGGTGACGCGAGGCTGGCTCCAGGGGATTATAAATGCTTCATTGGGTGAGGGTGACTTCCCCACCACCTTGAAAGAGCCGGTGGTGAGGCCTTTCCTCAAGAAGCCTTCCCTGGACCCGGCAGTGTTGGCAAATTATCGTCCGGTCTCCAACCTTCGCTTTGTGGCAAAGGTTGTTGAGAGTGTGGTTGCGCGATAGCTCCCCCAGCACCTGGATGAAATGATGTATCTGGATCCGTTCCAATCAGGCTTCAGGCCCGGGTACAGCATGGAAACGGCATTGGTCGCATTGGTTGATGATCTCTGGAGGGCTCGGGACGGGGGTTGCTCCTCTGTCCTGGTCCTATTAGATCTCTCAGCGGCTTTTGATACCATTGACCATAGTATCATGCTGCACTGGTTGGAAGAGTTGGGGTGGGGGGCACTGTGTTGCGGTGGTTCTCCTCTTTTCTCTCCGACTGGTTGGCAGGAGGGCAGAGGTCAACCCCGAGGCCCCTCATATGTGGGGTGCCAAAAGGGTCGGTCCTCTCTCCCCTTTTGTTCAACATTTATGTAAAGCCGCTGGGTGAGATCATCCATGGTTTCGGGGTGAAGTACCACCAGTACGCTGACGACACTCAGCTGTACATCTCCACCCCGGACCACCCCTTGAAGTGATGTCCGGTGCCTGGAGGCTGTGCGGATCTGGATGGGGAGAAACAGGCTCAGGCTTAACGCATCCAAGACCGAGTGGCTGTGGTTTCCGACATCCCGATATAGTCAGTTGGTGCCATCACTGACTATTGGGGGCAAATCACTGGCCCCCACGGAGAGGGCTCGCAACTTGGGCATCCTCCTGGATTCACGGCTGTCTTTAGAAGAGCATTTGACGGCCGTGACCGGGAGGATTTTTCATCAGATTCGCCTGATTCGCCAGTTGTGTCCCTTTCTGGATCGGGACTCCTTACTCACGGTCACTCATGCCCTCGTCACTTCCCGCCTGGACTATTGCAACGCTCTCTACATGTGGCTCCCCCTGAGGAGCACCCAGAGGCTCCAACTGGCGCAGAGTGTGGCCACGCGGGTGGTTATGGGAGCGACATGGCGTTCCCATGTAACACCTCTCCTGCACGAGCTGCACTGGCTCCTGGTGGTCTTCCGGGTGCGCTTGAAGGTTTTGGTTATCACCTTTAGAGCACTCCATGGCTTAGGACCTGGTTACCTACGGGACCGCCTACTGCCACCAATAGCCTCCCACCGGCCGGTACGCTCTCATAGAGAGGGGCTCCTCCAGGTGCCATTGGCCAAACAATGTTGACTGACGCCCCCAGGGGAGAGCCTTCTCTGTGAGGGCACCTACTATCTGGAATGAGCTCCCCCCAGAGATACGGAGGATCCCGGATGTGCGCACCTTCCGCCGCGCTCTTAAGACCTTTTTATTCCATCAGGCTGGCCTGGCCTAATCTTTTCCCTTTTTTCCCTTTTTAAAATGTAAATTTTAATTTGTTTTAAATTATTGGGGTGTTTTAAATCTGTCTTGGGCCAAATTGTTTAATTCGGTTTTACTTTGCTTTTAAATTTTGTATTTATGTGTTTTATCTTGTGGCTGTTCACTGCCCTGAGTCCTTCGGGAGTAGGGCAATATATAAATCAAATAAAATGAAAAAATGAAAATGACAATAGACATTTTTTTTTTATTTCATTTATATGCCACCGTTCTCCGGAGACTCAGGGCGGCTTACAATGCATTACCTACCTTAGAAAGGATGGAAGGCTGAGTCAACCTTGAGCCTGGTGAGATTTGAACTTGCAGTAATTGCAGGCAGCTGATGTTAATAACAGTGCTTTAGTCTGCTGCGCCACCAGGGCAATATGAAATATTAATTACATTCACCCCCTTTTCTGCCTTCGTTGCTTTCCACTCCGCTTCTCCCTTTGCTCTTGGGACTAAGAAATCTAGTTGCCTTTTTTTTTATGTTTCAAAGCTTTCCCTTTTAATTGATAACCCTTATTTCTTGTGTGTTTCCTTTCCAGATTTCAGCGACAGATGGATTTATCTCTTTCCTTCTCCCTTTTTCTTCCCCTCCCTCCCTCCCTCCCTTTCCCTCCCTACTTTCTGCTCCTCTCTTTCTTACTTTCTTTTTAACAAATTTGATGTGAAGTTCTGAAGCACTTTGAAGAGGACTGTGAGAGGAAGTGGAGGAAGCAGCTGCATCCAGCCAGCAACGTTCCTGACACCAGGGCAGCCCTGCCTTGAACATTTAATCACATCATGCTGTTTTTGAAAGGAGGGTATAGAGGAATCGGACAAAGAAGATTTGTTGTTGAACATTTGGCTTTTGTTTGGCTTTGAGAATATACTCACACACAAATATATTTTCCCTCTTGGAGTTCAGTATTTATCCTGATTGATCTCAAGAGCTAATTCAATTTCATAGACATCTGTCTATGGAACTAGGCACATAAGATGATAGTGGCGTCAAACAGAACTGGGGTGTCCATGCCCTTCAGTTGTTGAACTTCAAGGGCATTTGTTGCTGTTTTGATTTTTTTCCCCCTTAATTTTGGCTGTGAGTTTGCTCCTTTTTGCCTACAGGGGGTGCTGTAAGCCCACCATGCTCCGTCTGGGATTCTGGGTGGCCACCCTGCTCTTTATTTTTGCTCCTGGGATAGTCCACTGTGACTGCTGGCTGATCGAAGGAGACAAAGGCTATGTGTGGCTTGCTATCTGCAGTCAGAATCAACCACCCTACGAAACTATTCCCCAGCATATCAACAGCACTGTGCATGACCTGAGGCTGAATGAGAACAAACTTAAGGTGGTGCTCTACTCCTCTCTGAACCGCTTTGGTAATTTGACAGATCTGAATCTAACAAAAAATGAGATTTCCTACATTGAGGATGGAGCTTTCATGGGCCAGACAAATTTGCAGGTGCTGCAGCTGGGCTACAATAAACTCACCAATCTGACCGAGGGCATGCTGCGTGGCATGGGCCGACTCCAGTTCCTCTTTGTGCAGCACAATCTGATTGAGGTGGTTACCCCCAATGCTTTCATGGAATGCCCTAGCCTCATCAGTATTGACCTATCTTCCAATCGTCTCAGCCGGCTAGATGGAAGCACCTTCACCAGCTTGAACAACCTGATGGTATGTGAGCTAGCGGGGAACCCCTTCAACTGTGACTGCAACCTCTATGGCTTCCTCATGTGGTTGGTAGCCTTCAACAATGTCACAAAAAACTATGATCGCCTACAGTGTGAGACTCCCCGGGAGTTTGCTGGTTATCCGCTTCTGATGCCCCGGCCACACCACAGCCGCAATGCCATCACAATTTTCAAGTCAATGTGTGGGGATGGAACCTTTCCACCCATCTCCAGGATCAGACCTACACAGTTCATAACAGATCCTCAAAGGGATCCAGATGACAATGCTGAAAACTCAGGCATTAGCCCAGGGGATTTCCTCTCCGTTGAACCTCCAGCGTCTTCCACTACTGATTCTTCCTCTAACCCCAGCATAAAGCTCCAGCACGTATCCATCAACTCAGCTGTTTTAGTGGTGACCATTCCATTTCCTTTTAGCAAGATGTATGTTCTGGTTCAGTACAATAACAGCTATATATCTGATGTAATGACTCTAAAAAAAAAGAAGGAATCAGTAACTCTCACCCACTTGAAGGCTCACACAGATTATACATTCTGTGTTGCTTCAATCCGGAACTCCAAACGTTATAACCACACTTGCCTTTCGTTTGCCACAAGGAGTAAAGGGAGGGAAGAGCCAATACCCAGTACATCCACCACTACCCACTATATCATGACCATATTAGGCTGCCTTTTTGGGATGGTTATTATTCTTGGCATTGTCTATTATTGCTTGAGGAAGCGTAGGATGCAAGAGGAAAAACAAAAATCTCTCAATGTCAAGAAAACTATTTTGGAGATGCGTTATGGTTCAGATATTGATACCAGTTCAATTGTACATCCATCACAGAAATTGGGGGAACCACCAGTCATTCCTGTCTCACGGATGTCCTCTCTTCCATCCATGATTGGAGAGAAGTTGCCTTCATCCAAATCTATGGAAACTGGCATGGAAACTCCCAAGGTCACCACAAAAGGCAATTACATTGAGGTTAGGACCGGTGGTGGGGATGGGCTGGACAGGTCACAGCGGGATGATGATCTGCATGAACTGGATAATGGCCAAGGTTCAGCAGCTGAAATCTCAACAATTGCCAAGGAAGTAGACAAAGTGAATCAGATAATCAACAATTGCATTGATGCCCTGAAGCTGGACTCGGCTTCCTTTTTGGGAGGAGGGGGTGGTATTGATTCTGACATGGCTTTTGAATGCCAGTCCATACCAACCAGTTCTTCTGCTGGGTTGGAGCGACCAAGTTTTCTCTCTCCACCATATAAGGAGAGTTCCCACCATCCCCTGCAGCGCCAGCTTAGTGCAGATGCTGCTGTGACAAGGAAAACTTGCAGTGTCTCATCCAGTGGCTCCATCAAAAGTGCTAAGGTTTTCAGTCTTGATGTACCTGATCATCCTCCATTGAGCAAAGCAGATTCCAAGTACATTGAGAAAGGAAGTCCACTCAACAGTCCTTTGGATCGTCTTCCCCTTGTGTCCCCAGGTGCCATCCACCACTTAGAAGTGAAACCTTCCTATCACTGCAGTGAACACCGGCATTCCTTTCCAGCCCTCTACTATGAAGAGAGTGGTGACACTTTAAGCCAACGGGTGTCCTTTCTTAAGCCGCTCTCCCGTTCCAAGCGGGACTCTACATATTCTCAGCTCTCACCTAGACACTACTTCTCTGGCTATTCCTCCAGCCCAGAGTACTCTTCCGAGAGCACCCATAAGATCTGGGAGCGTTTCCGACCTTACAAAAAGCACCACCGGGAGGAAGTCTATATGGCAGCTGGTCATGCCCTGAGAAAGAAAGTCCAGTTTGCCAAGGATGAAGATCTGCATGATATCTTGGATTATTGGAAAGGTGTTTCTGCTCAACAAAAGTTGTGACTCCCTCGTTAAAAGGAAGATAAATCGACCGTTCAAACAAATTAACCCTCCTTCACCTGACTGTGGAAACAAAAAAAAACCTGACAAAAGAAACTGAAACCATTTCTTAAAGTTTACAAAAAAACAAAAACAAAAAAACAACAGGAAAAAAAAACCCCAAGTGAAATGAAGTGTCTCTGTTGTGTTACAGGGACCACTGTTACTCCTTCAGATGGTGGGGAGGAGAGTTTTCCTTTTATTCTATGGTGAAGAGAAGGGAAGACTGTGAGAGGAGCTACTGGACTTGTAGGTAGCAGAGGCAGGAGGGGAGGGATGCTTACCAGGCCTAGACTAAGACACTAACCATCACTTTTTGGTTACTTTTATTTTGTTCCAAAAAAGGAAGTGGTTTTACTCATTCCCTGATAAAAGTGAAGGGGAGAGTGATCCCTCTGCTTCTATGTCCTTCCCTTTCTTTCCTGTGCTTGCCAGGATTCTTTCAAACAATGCTCTAGTGCATGGGAGATAGTTTTCTGTGAGAGGTTCACATAAAGCTGGAGTAGCATTTCAGTCACCTAATTTTGTGTTTGGGGGGCATTTGTGTAGCAAATGTGCATTCAGCCCTCTCCTGTGAGTAGGCATGCTTGACCTCTGGGAAAGGTCTACATACTCTCAACGTGGATAGGCTACTGAAATATTACCTCAGCTGCATTAGCACTGATCATGGAATAGGTTGAATCCAGACTTAGTCATGATGGAGCAGACCAAGTGCATATATCTGAGGCATGACTATATTGGGATTCAAGTCACTGATGCTTGTGCACTTAAGGCAACATTTAAAACATCCCAAAGTCAAGTCAAAGATGTAACACACATTAAGGTTTCACTCAGGATCTTCTGTGCTCTCTATTCCGTCAATCTTTGTTGAGATTTGTGCATGCAAAAGCAAGAACAACATCTAAAGCTTTCTTTGCCTATCCTCACATGCTCAGGATTGTCAATTTCTGTAGGCTGATGCAGGATATAATTTTTCCTTCATTGGGGAAAGAATTATGAGATGAAGCAGATATATTACAGAATCTCTGTATTTTCTATGCCCTTCATTGTTTGTCAGGAAGGGAGAGAACATTAGTTCTCAAGGAGTATCCCCACATTTCAGTAGAATTTCAGTTGTCTTCCAAGAAAAGTGAATTATACAGTCTGGCCCTGGCCAAGAGGGGATGCCAAAATAAGAGCTTGAGAGGAGAGCAGTAGCTGCAATCTCTCTTAAGATCTCAAGGAGTTCTAACTCCAAACAAACCTCAGCATATGGACTTGGGGAATAGCACACAACTCCTTCCCAGGATATACTGTGCTCCCTTACAGGGCTGACTCCATCTTGGCTCTTTCCCTGAAAATAACTGGCTGTGATCCATGACATTCCATGACAAAAAAACATTACACCTCAATGCTAGAATTGGACCTATGTGGGTAACAAGATTGAAAAAATAGAATGCTGCAGAGGCTGGGAGGATACAGCTTGGGATGATCTTGCAACCGAAAAATGAAGGATTGCCCTGGGAAAAAGAAAAAAGAGTGGAATTCTTCAAGAAAACATTCAGTGGTTAAGCTAGACAAGGTAATGCATAGTGGATTAACAGACTTGCCAACAAAGCATCCAGATAGCATATGGATGGGATGAAGGCATAGATAGATACCAGTTGATTGCATTGGTTGGCAGTCCAGGTTTGCCCATTTTCCTATCATCTTGCTGACATCATTTCTTTTCCATGACTTGGGTTTGTTTTTGTTTTGTTTTTTTGCAGCTGCTGTATTCAAGTTCTGACCACTATATTTCCTTATATTCTTGGGAGAACATACAGCAAAAAATGGTTCAGAGCCAGTGATGAAGGGATGAGTTGAGTTATTCAGTTGTTCTCATGAGAACTTCAGTCACCATAGTTAAGATTGATTAGTTAAAGAGTTGGCACAGATAAGTAAATGTGGATGTGGATGTATACATACGTTCTGACACATTCATGTTCATATATATAGAGAACCATTCTGTGGTGCTCTGCTTTATTATAAAGATTGAAATTATTAAGTATTTTACTAGGAATAGATCGGAGTAAAATCTGGTTTAGATAAGGTGCACTTGGTTCCCAATGAATTCATGGGGACTTAAATCATGGCTAACTTATCCCATTGATTTCTATGGTATCAAAATGATCTTTTCTTGTATGAAGAGAAAAGAGGCTCCATGTTTCTAAATGTTTCTATAGCCTTTTATCTCTGATTTGATAAAACTTTACCATGACAATGGATATGGCATATCCTTTTTCCACTGCTCACACCTCTGCCTTGCAACAAGAATTCATAGGTGCAACAAAAATGCATCACTAGTAGATTAACTTTCTCCCCTGGTGCTGGCTTATCTCAGAACACATCAACAAAGCACAAGCTGCTGCAGCCACGGAATACATTAGCTATTTGTTTTCAATGATTAACCCCACTGGGCAAGGACTTTCACAGGAGAAAACTCTTCTCGAAGTATTTATGTTGGTAATATTGCCCTCTGAGAAGAGCCAGGGAAATTCTAGACTCCAAGACTCCAAATTGATCCACTTCCTTTTCATTGCAAGAAAAGAAATATGCTTCCCTACATTGCACACTCAAATTGAGGATAGATGGGTGCCTTGCAGCCAGAACTAGCCTGTCTTTATCTTGCAAGATTTCCTCTCCCCAATTGTTCCCTGCAGAAAAATAATAGGAATAATATGTGATGCTGGGTGACGTGGAGAAGTAAACCAAAAAGGTAACAGTGTAGTGTACATGGGAAAGGGGATTCACATCCTTTCTTGGGGAAAGTTCCTTCCTGAAAACAGTCAAGAAGTTGAAGAGCCATTATATCTGGGTGGTCGGGGGCAGATACCTTTCCTTCATCCTAGCCTCACTTCTGGTAGACACTGTGCTTCAGCAACCATAGGGGAGTACCCTTCTCTTTACCCAAACAGTGAAGACAGAAAAATCAGTTCAAAAATGGAAATGCCAGCCTTTTGTTGGTTTATATTAAATCTCAGGGATTCATTTATAATGAAACCAAGAGAGGACTGTGATCCCAGAAAGGAATTCTTGTGATATTTTGTGAGGAATCCAATGAAGGACCCTGAGAAACACATTTTGTGAAGTGAAAGTAGATAATAGTGATGGATTCCAAAAAAACAAATCCTAGGAGCTGAGGCTTATATTGGATCCAGCTGTCCTTTCTGTCAGTAAGATGAACCCTAAAAGTAAATCCTTTGTAATATTCTAGGATAAATGTCTGGAATATATATTTTTGAGTCTATCTGGGATCCCACACATGAATACTTGTGAAATACTTGGGAAATACTAAAAACATGGGCTGTGAGAGAAACTTGTTGAATCCTAAATAAAAAGAGTATGTTAGGATTCGTTGAAAATTCAGGAGGCATGCATTTGGAAGGATACTAACATCCATCCTGGTCTCAGTGAATTTTAATAAGAAATTGGTGACATTTTTCACAGCCGTTTTGCATGCCAGCATGTTCCTGTATTGTGTGCTGTTTGGTCACACACTGATCACAGACTAGGGGATTCTTTTCAGTATGTTGGATGGGTTGGCTGTAGGTAAGCACACTAGGGCTGTAGGACATCACATGGTCCCATCCTAAAGTAAGTGGAATATCTTCCCTGCGGCTGCATATTTCTTCCATGCTTACCTGATCCTAGATAGACATAAGAGCAGGACCAAGCACAGTTTACGATTCCCAAAAAGCATTGGAGGGAATAGAAGATAGGGAAGTGGAAGTAGTAGGGTTGTCCAGAAGGAGATTTTTAGAATATTTCAGCTGTGGCAAAGGATGTGTGATGGACTTTTGGGGTTGCTGAGGAACACGGACTCATGTAGAGTTAGAATATGAGTCCTGGGTCATCACAGTGCCACAGGATTGTCCAAATCTATCTTAGAATGCAAGTCGCTATTCATATTTGAGTGGGATGAGAAAATATTCCTGGGATTCTTCCCCCCCCCCAAATGAATGACAGCTTTTACTGTAGAAACGGAACAACCAAAAATTCTTTCATTTCCTCTATTAAAAGGCATATAAATGCCATCCCAGATAGATTTTTGCAATCCTTAGGCAGTAAGAGAATTTGCCTTTTGACTCGGAATCAGGGTAAAGAATGGTGATTGTGGATTCATGGTACAAACAAACCCTCTTCCATTTATACTGCTTCACTCCAGCCTCTGTCTGTCATCCTAAAATCCTTACTGTGGCATAACAATATATGTAAGAGATCGGGATTTCTTTTTTACTGATTTCAGCTTTGCTGATACCCCTCCGAAAAGGAATAGAAATTGAGATTCGGAAAAAAATGGTATTGGGACCATAGCCCAGCATCTTCCAGAAGATGGACATTCATAGGGCACAAGCGATCCATACCCTTTTTATGCCCTACAATGAAAGCCTTAGTCTGTGGGTAAAGTTTGCACAAGTTGGGACTGTTTCAGCAGGGGATAGGAGTAGAAAGGGGAGATAACGGGGAAATAATATTTTCCCTTTGGTTTTGTATCCACCCCTTTCCTGCCACTATTTTCAGACTTGGAGTAAATTACAAAGTATACCCACAGTTGGAGAAGAGGAGATTTAAGCATTATATCTGCATGATGATTTTATTGTATTTTTCTGAGCAAAAACATCTTTTGTGTATGTGCTGGTCTGTCAAGACTAAACCTAATCATGCTCCTTTGCTCTTTCCTTTTACCTCACCCCTAACTTCCCCATATTCCCCTGACCACCATTGTGATTTGAAAACTTTGGGAGGGAGTGGACTCCAAAGAGAACCCAAACCTGGTGCCATTACAAAAAACAGCACCTCCCAGTGTAACTCACCTGCCTTTGCAAAACTCTGAGTTGGTTTCCGCTTGGTTAATTTTCAGAGGCATGGCCCCAATCCATTAATTCATGCTCATCCTGTAACAATTAATTCTCATAAGCCTTTAGAAATGCTTGTATAGCAAGGGCTTTTGGGTGAAGAATGCTCCTGGGTTTTGGTCAAACATTAGTTCACTAGTTGGCTCTTCTGATGCAGAGGCAGATTTGCTGTCCAGGAATAGATTAAAAACTCAAACTTTAAGGGTGTCTTGCAAATGAAAAGGCTTCTTTAAGGGCACCTTGGGAATTTGAAGCAATTTGTTTACATAGAAAGTCTCCCCTTGGACACAGTAGATTGTGTCTACTGTGTCCCCTTGGACACAGTAGATTACACCGCCTGTTCTTTTTGCATATGATTAAATAACTGCTATAGTGTACATGACCTTCTTGATAGGCCCTTTATAGTGGAGACATGCACTAAATGAACACACCCACACATACACACCCCATTTAGACACACACACACACCATTTAGTTTCCCACTAGTATAGTTTTTCCTTACAAGTCCCAAAACGTCTCTGAGGAGAGAATTTCTCCTAGAGGAAACTAGAGAGGAAACTTGATATTTCTTCTGGAGAGCTTCCAACTTGCTTTTGTTGTCCATAATGTAACTGTTATGGAGCAATAGACATTTTGTTTATCCTGATAAAAAAAAGAGGGAAAGCCAGAGTTGGATTCTGCTCTCTTTGCTAGGACCTCTTACATCATTGGAACGGAAGCGTCAAAGACGGAATTTTGGAAGTGTGTTTCACGGAACAGATTCTGGATGCAGTCTGTCTTCCTGTGATCAATTTGGAGAAGAATAAGGGAACAACAAAGAAGTGGTCTTTCCATACTGAATCTTGGCATGCAAAAAGGACACTACTGAAGTTTTGATCCAATTGGAAGACACTAGATCCTAACTCTTGTAAATACTGCAGTGCTCTCCCAGCTTCATTTGCCAGATAATTCTTCTTGAGAGATGGGTGTGAAATATTCATTAATAACAATTGAAAATTTATGTAAAGGAATGTTGGCTGAGGCAGCACTGATGTGCTTGCAAAATCTTTACTGGAAGTTCTCAAAGACAGCAGCATGGAGCAGATAGGAGGTCATGAGAAAGGGGGCCTCCACAAAAAGAGAGAGAACATGGTGGGAGAGAAGGAGATTGGTTGGAGTAATGAACACAACAGGAATAGAAAAGAAGCAAAGGCTAAGAAACATAGAAAGGGGTTTTGGAAACAAGACTAAGTCTAGATAAAGAGAAATATGTCTTTAACCAATAAGAGGAGCAGACTAGAGATGAAGCTGCTTCACATTCTTCACTGTTCAAATCTGGGTTAATCCCACTGCTTTCCAGAACTGGAATAAAACTTTCATATATCACGATATATTTAGCCACATAATTTTGGGTCCCTGTCACGAACCCATAATTTATCAAGACTGAGTTCAGATACAGAAAGTGATATAATGATACAAAACAAAATTCATGTATGTTTTTTCTAAAATTAAGGCAGAGTTACCATCCAATATACAAGTTGACTGGTGGACTGGAATTCTTTTATTATGACAATGTCTGTGGACTCCTTGGTGCTTTTTGTACTTGGTATTTTCTTGGAAGCATTTCATAACTCAACCATGTAACATTATCAGTGTGAGAGAAGGTGGAGTTTTTTCCCTTTGTATCTACAGCAGCTTGCCTTTCCAGTGTTGGTGACAATGTGGTTTTCTCCTTGGTATTCTTAGAACCTAGTGGTGATGTTACTTAGTTGAGTGATGAATCATCTGCAAGAAAAAGAGCCAAGTTTAGAGAACACCTAGGGTGTACAGTTTGAGGATTTTCAAGTGTCCCTAAAAAGAAAAATAACAGATATTCGCCACTATTGCAAAGAAAAATATCAGTTGTCTCATCTCCTAGTTATGTAGATGTTCAACCCTAAGCTACATATATTCCTTTCTATTGAAAATGTCTTAGAATCACTTCTAAGTGATTAGAGTCACTTCTCTGTTTCCCTCTATTTCACCATTTTTTACTCTACTTTCTCTGCTACTGGGCCAGTAACAAACACAGCAGAATTTAAAGAGTTTTGCCTGAACTTGTGAGCACAAAGTAGTACACACTGTTATACCAATAGAGAAAGCTGGATATAAATAAACTTCAGTCCCTGAGAAGCCAGAATAAATCCCTGTCTATTTCTGACTGGAAAATATAAAAAAAAATCTTAGGAAGATTAAGCAGAAATGGTGGTGATTAGATTTTGATCCTGAAGAATTATAATAAAATTAAATAAATAAAAAAATTAATGTCCCAAGAGCAGTAGTTGCAAAGAACCTCAATGATGCAGCTTAACTGACTAGTTCAAATTCTTTCATGATTCCCTTAGATCA